TTGGCAGCACAGGAGACAAACTAGCTTGCAAGAGAAGAAGGGGTGGGAAGGGCATGTTTTGATGATATTGAAGTAAGGCATTAGTAGATACCGATCTCTGTTTTGAGTACCAAGTCAATTCAGTCAAGCAGCTGTGGATTACTGACTGGAGACCAAAAAGGGGTCACCCCGGTAAATCCCCTACTACAATGGCTGCTTAGGACAGTATGCATTATTAGGGTCATCTGGTAGTTTCAGCAATGTTCATCCTTGTCTGAGACAGGACATGCCCAGGGTACAGTACAGGGGAGGCTTGGAGCCCCACAAAGAGAACAGGGTAAGGGATCTAAAAGGTCATCTGCATGGAACTGCCTCCTAAAAGATTTTACATCAAACTCATGGTGGGCAAAGAATACAACACTCCAAAGGTGAACCGAATGGCCTAGCCTAGGTCCCCACCTTGTCGCCACCAGTAGGTCGGCAATCCCTGGGGAGCGGTCATAAGCCATACAACACCTACAGCTGGCACAGCAGGTATCAAATTTAGGCTCACATGCATGAAATCACCATTTTTAAGGTGCATTAAGGGCACACGTGTGTGGATATACACCCTTAATGCACCTTAAAAATGGCAATTTTAGGTTAAGCCCACTTAAAAGAGGCACATGTAGACACACCCTCTATAACTGTGTGCAATGAGTCACTTGAACCCCACCTTGATGTAAGGACTGTCATTTACAACACATTTGTATAATGCTTAACACAAGAGCCCCCAACAGCTTGAAACTTCTAGGTCCTACCTAAACATCAATAATTAATAATATACCTCAGTTCCCACTCCAGTAAAGTTTGGGTAGATAATGATGGGCTGTTTCCTAGCACTCCTTTTCCCAAGATCTCACAGCACTTTACTAAGAAGGATAAGCTTTATTCCTGCTTACAATATAACAAGAGCTTGTCTTACTTGTGTCACATACATGTAATCTCACTGGCCAATGAGAGTGCACAAGTATAAATAAGGACAGAAATGGACCTTGTGTCTTCCATGTTGAAATGGGTGTGACAAATATGCCAGTGAAAAAAAGACCAAGGCCCTGTTCTGGAAAAGTACCACGGTGCCTCATTATTCCATTTGTATTCAGAAATACCCTTAGAGATGGGATCCCTGATAACATTAAGGAGCCTAAATGTGTTCTTAGTATTGCATAATATAGATAACACTGCATCACCAAGATGCTTTCCTGAATGCAGGCCCAACTGTTGAAAGTGCCACAAAACAAACCAAAAAAAAAGCCTGAAGAGTAACAGCTGCAATTCAACAAGGGTGAGTGAACAATGGAAGAGCCAGAACACCATCAACAGACAAGAACATTACTGATGGATATAAATCCTGTAGATATAGCCTAACTAGAGAACACCATATTTTCTTGTATACAACATGCTCCAGAAAATAATATATACCTGGTTTTTAGAAGGCAGAATCAGGAAAAATCAAAGACAGAACATTTATTTGGAGCTCATGAACAAAGAAAAACTAGGGCAGGGGAATTTCCTCTTTCAGCATCTCTCCAAATAATTCTGATAAATCAAGTTCTTTAATAGATCACATAGTGCAAGAAAATGCCAGACATCAGGAAAAGGAGTGTTATGCTACCTATTTTTAAGAACAAAGGAGACTTATAAGACTGTGGCAAGTATAAAGACATAAACTCAAGAAATACCATGAAGTCACAAGAAAATTGTCAAGCAAAGAATGATAAGTCAAAATTGACCACATTGAAGCTTGTGTTCATACCAAGAAGTCAACCACGGATGAGATCTTTGAAGTGAAACTCCTCCCTAAGAGGGAAATGGAAGTTTCTCCACTGTCTCTAATCTCAGATAATAATGGAATATTTCTATCTCCTCTCTTAAGTGTTTTACAGTCCTTCCAATTGCTGCATACCTTCTCCCCTTATGTGCCCTTTCTGGACCCTATTGTGTGCTATCTAGGAGGCTTTATTGGTGACTGGGGAAGAATTGTGGTAGTTACAGGTGCTAAGAGAATTTACTCAGATCCTGTTCTTACATGAGGATCCTGCATTCCAGCTACGTTAACTCCTCACCCACTACATCAGTTACCACAGTATTACTATATCTGTTTGATAATATCTGCAATGGCTGTTGTGGAGGTGCTCTGCAAGTTCAGATCAGCATACAATCTGAGAATAATAGTAATCGCTTATTCAGCTATTTGGGGTTTTTTTCTTATCCTTTTACTAGCTCTCTCTTGACTTTTGCTGTTCTCATAAAAGCCTCTTTGCTATTAGTAGCTGTCCCTAGAGTGTCTTTTTATCTCAAATACTTCAAGGACAATCACTCTTTCTTAGTACTACCTTGCCATCGACCACACGGTGTATCCAACTTCTTTCCACAAAGCCCTTCCTTACACATTTCCTCATAACATAGTGTAATAGGGAGCCTCTAGCCCCTGTTACTTTAAGGGGAAGTGAAATCAGTATTATGTGCCTGCAAGAATGCTGGCAGCTGAACTGGTGCCAGCTGTAAAGAGACAGGTAGCAGAAGGGAATCATAGCTACAAGGCAGTAACAAGATGAAAGTCACTTACCTGGAAAAAGCAGGAATAGGATAGGGAGCTGAATTTCAGGCAGCTATTTAAGTAATGCCTATGGCAGAGCTATGGGATAATGAGAAACCCCCAGGATCAGTTGAGAGAGCTGGGGTCATGTGACAAGAAGTGGGTGGAGCCCAGGGCTCTATAAACTGGAGGGGTATTTGGGTTTGGGACACAGGAGAGATAAGAGCTCTTTGAAGCTTGTTGCTGAACTGTCCTTGAGAGCCTCAAAGAAAGGTCTTGGCAATGAAAGGCGATCATGTAGGTGTGCTTGAAGGGACTTAAGCTGCAGAGGCTGGTACCAGCCAGAAGGTAAGAAGCCCAGAAGGGTAGAAGTTGGATGCAACTGGGGAGTACCTTAGGGAAAGGTAAATCCTGGGTGATACACATAAGCAGGGAAGGGCCCTGGAAGAGGGCAACCCCAAACTACAGCTGAGAGGGGGAGAGCTTAAGGGAGAGAAAATGCCAGGGTTCAGTTGAAGATGGCAATGACAGCTACGAAGCATGGGGAGGCTAGTAAGGGGTGAGTAAAGGCTATTAGGGGTGCCAGAGGACTGTGCTGGTGGGTGCTGAATTGCAGGTGTGGGAGCCAGGGTGTTACCCTAGAGATAGCTCTGTGCAAGGTGCCGAGGGGAGAGGCCTGCCCTGGATGACTGTGGGTGAACCAGTCCAGAGGACTATTGCACGGTGCTAAGAGGGAACATGTCCTGGATTTCTCCCCATGCTGAGCAGAGAGGCACACCCTGGATGTCTGTGCCAAGGGTGAACAAGGCCAGAGGACTCTGTTGCAGACATGCTTGGAGACATGGTGCTGAAGAGGCAGCAAAGCAGCATGTAAAAGGGCTACCCTGGCTTCTAAAGGGAAATTACAAATTTGCCAAATTCATCATAACATTTTATGCCAAAGGCATGGCAGATGGAAAACAGGAGATGCAACAGAGGCTGGAGAGCTGAGCAGGTAAATTTGATCTCCATGGGGCTTTCAAATCTGGGGTCAGAGCCCTGAATCTTCTGCACACACTGATAGAAGTCACCTGTTACCCTGGGGACAATGTGAAAAAAATGACAAGAATTTTTAATAACAATCTGTTTATGCAAGTGCAGCTAATTATAACTCTACCTACAGCTAAGTATGGGGAGGTAGATGATGGGGCTCAAGTATTTTCAGCTGCAGTAGTCTTCCACTTAGTTTTTCAATCTTCATATATAACATTCAACATCTAGTTTCTCCTAAACTGATGTTGACACTGACAGTGCTGCAAACTGGACTAATACCCAAGAATGCCAAAATCCTTATATTCATCATCATTGTGAAATATTATAGATACGATTTGAATCTATTGTTCCTGAGATAAGTGTCTTAAACACTCACAACTGCAGTTGTCATTTTCTATATTCTAATTATTTATTGGCAACTCCTCCAGTTTGCTTTTTTTTGCTTAAAAAATAGGCTAAGCTGTCACTGTTAATGAATAAGCTTTCTGGGTAATTTATAGCCAAGTGCTCTGATGCCACCGAATTTGCACCAAGGAGAATACCCATGATCACCACCTCACAAATTTCAAAAGGGCCTTCACCCAACAAGGACACTCATCAAGAGAGATGGATTGTATCTTTAAAAGAGCCACCCAGATACCATGTAAAGATTTGCTGCAATACAGAAAGAAAATCCCCATGAATCACATACCATTAGTTATGACATACCACACATCCCTGGAACCTACATGGAAAATCCTCAAAGAGTTGCCGCCCGTACTAGACAAAGACCCAATCCTTAAAGAGATCTTTCCAGAACCACCCATCCTAGCCTTTAGACAAGCACCAAACATTGCTAACCTCATAACCAGAAGCAAACTCCCTATGAACCAAAGCACACCAAATGGATACAGACCATGCCAGGACAAGAAATGCAAGAGCTGCCAACATATCTCCATCAGTCCCACAATAACCACACTGGTTCCAACACCATTCCTGGATCTTACACCTGCACCTCCAGAAATGTAATATATCTCATCCAGTGCACTAAATGCCTTGATGGAAAATATGTAGGAGAAACCAAATAACAACTGTGCACCAGAATGAACGCACACCAGAAATTCATCAAAGACAAAAATATCCAATTACCAGTGGATGCACACTACTCACAAGACAATCACTCCCTCTCTGATCTATCAGTTCTAAAACTCAAAGGGAACTTACAAAACACCTATGAAACACCTTTTGTAGATGAGCTTTCACTTCATAAATCTACTGGATACAAAAAAATC